GCCCCGCCCCCCACCCCCAGACTGGTCACATATGCGTGGCATCATCAGCAGTGATGGCGAGAGCAACTGAGCTCCCCCTGTCCCCCAGGAGGGACTTTCCACTTGTAGAAAGCATATATAGCATACCCACCCCCAACTCTGCCTGCAGAGCAGGAGCAGCTTTCTTCGGAGAAGACTCGCAGCTCCCAGGGACACAAGTTATTGGGATACAAGTTATTGGGATTCTACTTCTCAGCTTCACATTCCCAGTTTAAAGTTTTACAGGGATTTATTTTTAAGGACTCAATAAAGGAGTGTTTGAATCACCTCATCAAAACTGGTCCCCCACTCTCACCCCCTGTACTTTGGTCCAGGAAGCTGAGGAGTAGCCACTGTCCTCCTGATCTGGTTCCCTTTAATTTCCCCCAGATTCTCCAAAGAAAGTCCCAGCCTCCTGACCCTGCCATCCAGTCTGCCACCAGGCTTGATTCAAAAAGAGTGTGGCTGCTTTCTCCAGCCTGACCAGTGGGCCCCTCTAACCACCCTGCTTTTATTTATTTACTTAGGCCACGCTGTGTGGCATGTGGGATCTTAGTTCCCCAACCAGGGATCAAACCCATGCCCCCTGCAGTGGAAGCAGGGAGTCTTGATCACAGGACCGCCAGGGAAGTCCCTGACCACCCTGCTTTTAGTTGTCTGATAACCTAACGCTTAGTTGGGAGGAAGATCTGAATAACTGGCCTTAAGAAGAATGTGAAGCACAAAATGAAAGGTCTTGGGAACAGCTGTTGTTTATGTCTTTCTTCCCTTTTCTGGAAACAGCCACTTAGTCCATGGGCCGACTCTTTCAGCCTTAAAGCGGTGGGTACAGGGTCTAAACCTGACCAATCGGAGCACCCCAGGCCTCTGGCTACAGATCAAACCAATGAAGTCACTTCAGGACTGCTGGAATTCTTGCTGTTGAGGTTGTTGGTAGGTTGTAAGGTTGGAGCTGCCAGGGGCCTATGGGTAAGGTGAACCTTCCTGAAAATCTGAAGCCAAAGCAAAGGGAAGCAGCGGTCCAGCGACTGATGACTTCCTTTGAAGCTCTAGATTCAGTCATGTCCAAAGTCAGTAAAGTCACTGAAATTTTTAGTTACACAGCCCAGTGAGTTCTCTTTTTAAATACAAGTAACACTACCACCTGCCACTGAACATTCCTTAATATACACCTTAGACAGAAAAGGTGAGTCCTGGGATCTGTTAGAATAACCAACAGTTTATTAAAAGCTTGCCATGGGGCTCTGTGCCAGCCCCGTAGCTGGGAGGGGCTCTCATGACTGCCCCCAGGCCTGCAAGCAGCCCCTTCTAAGGTTCTTATTTTGTTCCCCTGCCCCAGCTCAAATCTCAATTAAAAAAAAAAAAAAAGGATAAAGGACAAGACGGCACAGGACGTCAGACAGCAACAGGGGAATGGAGAGACCCAGGCATCCTGACCCCAAGACCCCATCCTGATCTTTCTTTCAGGAAGAACTTTTCCTCCCGTTCTCCCCACCCCAGGCCCCAGACCTGCTCTGTCACATCCCAGGTCTGGGGGGCCTGGCATCCCCAAGTCCATGGCCCCATTCCAGGGGGTAGTATAGTTCGCTTTATATAATATATCTAGACCCACCCTTCCCCTCCCCCAGGGGACTAGATGAATATTTGACACGCATATCTCCCTCCTTTCCCGAGGCCCTGATGGAGAGGAACCCTGGCACCATGGTGGGGAGGCAGGGGCTCCTGGTCAGCCTTGAGGCACCTATGCCCAAGCTGGCCTTGGGCCACTGGCCAGCCCAAGAAGCTCATGAGATAAGGTCTGAGGGGAGCTGGAGCCAACTTCCTGTCCCCCACCCTTGGGTGGACCTCAGGCTTACAGCCCTCCAGGATCAG